GCATTTACATGTTTTGTGGAGCAGGTTTATTCCACATTCCCTATATTAGGTTGCTGACTCTTTGTAATCAAATGTAGCCTTTTTTTTGGCTACTTGTGTGTTATAATCACCAACCAACAGCACTAAGTGATTGGTTAAGAATCTCAATTCCCATGGAAAGGCAATACCTACCGACTGCATCCAAGCGTAAAATGCACCTCAAAATCTCCCGCTCTATTACCTTGCCCCCCTAGAGTGAAACACAGTAGCTCCATTCCCCAGCTGATCTGCAACAAGAGCTAATGAGCTCAGCGGCTCTACACAACACGGCCGGGAAATCGAAACAGCCTGTGTGAGAGAGAGACGTGTAAATGAGAGTGATCTCCCTAGACGATCTGCTGGACAAAGGCAGGCATATGGAGATATTTACCAAGCAGGTCAGCCAGTGTGAATCAAGCCCCAGGGATCTACAGGGGATGCTAATTACAAGACTCCAAATAATTAAAATGCACATGTGATGTTCTTTATGTAAATGCTACAGGGAAACTGACAGGCCAGCTTGCAGGCTGCACATTTTGGCCATGACACATCTGTTGATATCCAAGCATGTTATACAGTATGAATGCCTGATATATACGATGAATAATTTGTAATTGGTTGTATTGATAAGCGAAACGACACTGATACATACAATATAAAATTAATATTTGGAGGTGTAAGATTTCAAAAGACACACCAGCCAAGATTGATACTGCTTTCTGCCACTTTAAAGCCACCGTCAATTCAAAAAACAGTTTTTCATTCAACTCTCATCTATTTTCCTGTGCCCAAATCCTTGTTTCACCTGGCAGTGACTGATGGAGTTCAGCTGTGCGACTTGTGAAAAAGAGGAAGAAAACGAAAAGTCTTTTACAACACAAGCTCTCGAGCTATTAAAAATTACTGAACTTTTCATGTGCCGATATGGAGAATGAAAAATAGGCACACTGCTTCAGCACCTTAGACTGAAACCTCAGGGGGGTTCCAGTCTGAGTAAGCAAAGGGACAGCTTGTGTGAGTTTTTTTACGAGTTCAACAAAACCAAATAAAAACGTGTCAGTACGCTTATATGCACACTTCTAACAAACCACCTGGAGTCTGTCAATACTGCTTCTCTTTGTAGCATCAAAGCGCAAGCATATATGAAACCTTAAGTGTCGAACTCGGTAAATCGATAGGAAAACGAATCTTCTGTTGCTTTGGACCAAATGGTTTATAAATCCTACAGCGATCCCCTAAGTAAGTACAAGAATTCATGAATGCTAAACACATTTCTCCGCTAACAAAGGAGTAGCTTTGATACTAGAACCCCTCTTGTACTTGTAGGACAAGACTGCTGAACTGACAGTTTCCCTTTAAATATGAATATCAAATGAGGATCTACTTTTTGATATGGTGTGATAATGCCAGAGCTCAGATTTCGCGTACAACCTACTATATCTTAAGCAATTAGAATAAGCTTGAGAGCAATGCTGTTGTAATTTGTTGGAATAAATCCTCAGGGAGTTGAGAGCGCTTACTGTGAGTTCAGAGAACACATTGCACAGTTAAGGCTAAAATCCTTGCTCCGAGCAAGAACACAAACACCGATATGTTCTCAAGGCTGACACCAATAGGGCTTAATGTCAATCATCTTATCGGGATGGTCAAACAGACCTTGAGAGCATGTGTGCTGGAGAACAACAGATCGTCTTGCCAACTAAACCCCAGACTTTGTCACATGTAGCACCACAATGCCCATTTGCTTTGATGATATTGCCTTTAGCGTAGAAGGAACTGCGCTTATGATCCTTAACCGCACAACCCAATACTGCGTTAATCTGCCTGAAACTCCCCCCTGCAGCTCAGACTCTTCTAATCCTTTATAAGGAAGAGAAGCCAGATGGTCGTGAACAACTGCTGGGGGGCCTGAGGATGAGCGAATGTATGGAGATGTCTGGAGTGCCTGTCAATGTTTACCTTGTGTTTTAAGTTACTAGTGTAAGCTCCATGAAGTGGCCTGTGTGTGGCTGGTGAATGCACTTCCAAGGATGTGTGTGTGCACAGCAAATGTGCTCATGCACAGTTAAAAAGAAGAGACCCCCGCTGCACCTGGTGTCAGGTTACCGCAGCTTGCAGTTCCCCTTTCAATCCTGAGACGAGATGTCAGAACTTAAGAGGCACGCCGCTCTACCAGCTTCGGTAACCGTACGATTCCTGGAGTGTCAGATGCAGAGTGGCACAGTCCCAGGGGTCTCGAGATACATCATGCCTCTCACCCTCGCCCCTCCGTTTCAGAGTACTCGGGCACCCCTTTCTGACCCTTCAGTGACAAGTGAACCTTTTATTTACAGCTCCACTAACCTTCAAATTGGTGCGCTGCGGCCTGAAAATCTGGAGTGCCAGTCAAGTAAGCTGTCACGCGGAGATACACTGAGACCTTGCAGCCACATGCTGCATCCTCACTCCCACCCTTCTCCCATGAGACACTGATTAAACTCCTATTAAAATGATTGAGTAGTAGGAGGAAAACAAGAGTATCAATCTGCCGCAGCAATAGATTGGAATGTGCATGGTGGGCATTCATTAAGTGAACATTATCAGAGTAAAAATTCAATTATTTCGCAGCAGGGTATAAGTTGTGCTGAGAAAGTTCCACACTTAAGTTCTCTCTCTCTCTCACACACACTCTCACACACACACACACACACTCACACACACACACACTCTTATGGTCACACACACACACTCTTATGGTCACACACACACACTCTCACACACACTCTCACACACACACACACACACACACACACACACACACACACACACACACTATAAGAGATGCTCCACTCTCACTGAAGAGAGTGCATTTACAGCTCTCTATCTTTTACATGCTTTTACAGTTACTATAATGCATCAAGGTCAACAAGCTAAGTTTCACATGAATCTAAGACCAAAAGCTTAATCTAAAGTCTAGTTTTCACCCACTTCTTAATGCAGAAGCTGATTATTAGTAGCAAGGTTTGTTTGCAGTAAATTAACACTTTCATTCATGCTTTTGTTTCATACATTTCCCCTGTGATGAGCATAAGGACCTAGTGGATATGGCCTCAGCTAAGCTGACCTTTACTCATGTACTCAGGCAGCTTTTGATCTATCATTTGAGATGAGCAGGCTGGAACTGACATACAGCTGACATAGCCATTGTGTCAATGTGAAGTCAAATACAGCTTTGAAATATAATATCCAAGTAAAAGGTCCAAGAAAAATACTGCAAATTCACAAAAACTATTATTATAAATGTGACTTCTTATGTCTGATATTGGTTTATACAAATCTGCATATAAACACATATGTTGATCAGGAAAGTCGCTTTTAAGGGATGAGTTATGTATAGCCTCTTTGGTAATATAAGAAGAGGTCAGACTTTAGTTTCATCCAACGAGTGCCCTGAATAGCCTGTAATTTGTGCCAAATTGTAACATTTAATCATAAATAAATAATAAACTTTGTTTGGCTATTAATTAACACGATGTAAAAGAGTAAGAGCAGCAATTCAAATGGCATTTTGTTTCCCTAGCCAATTTATAATTTCAACAATTTGCTTGTTTAATTTTTTGAAATTAATTAAACACAGTATTCGCTATTAAATGAGCTGCCTCCATCTGTTTCAATAAAGCTTTTAGTATGGAAAGACATGCATTATGCTGTAATGAAAAACAGCTGATCGATCACTCATGCACCCAAAAATCAATTTGGGAAACTGCTCTAAAATGCCATCCTTAACTCTAACAGTGGTGAAGTCAATACACATACTGACCGAGTTGAGAATGGGTGCTCACATAAGGCTAAGGCAGCGTCTGCAATAATGACTCCATCATCAAATAAGCTTTTTTTGACCCTATCATCCCCTAAAACAAATATTAGCATCATTAGTTGGGTATATATACCTCTGCCAATCACTATCACACCCTGCACATGATCTCAGACTAAGATGAAGGTGCAGCCTTCAAGATGAAGAAAGGTCTGAGCTGTCCATTTTTCTACATATAAATTTGACAGTGATGTAGATTTCAGCTTGTGTGGTGCATGTTTGTGTATACGTGTTAACGCAGCTGGCCTCTAGTTAATGCCCACTCTGTTGTCCCAGTTAGCTGGGCTATCAACCCACATGACATGGTGGGCCTGAGTTGATTCCCCAGTGTTGAGATGTTTTTACGCTTCATGCTTCAATGCATTCACACAAAAGGCTTGGCCTCATAACCCATAAGCCCGATAATCCAGTCTGTAAACATTCAAGGGATGCCCACTTTTACCATAAATGCCCATGCTTGGTTACACTGTGGAGACCACCACATGCTGGCTAGGTTACTGCGATAGAATTTATTATATTAAACTGAATAAATTCTGTTGACAATTTATCATACCGTGAGTCAAGAGGAATGACGATCCATCAGATCAATTTAGACTATCGCTGACCAACTCAGCTAAAATCCCTTTGCCATTATTGTGCAGCTCATCTGTGTAAATGCCAAGCAGGAGGATATAGTCTTTCCCTTGCATACCAAAAGCAGCATTGCAGCTTCATGTTCACTGTAAATCATGCGACCATGTGAAAGACTGACTTTACTGACCCCCAGGACCTTTTTCCACCAACCCCCACCCGAACCGAAAGGAATAAAAAAGAAAAACACAAAAGGAGACCTGGTGCAATGCCACGGACACTGTCATGACATCCAGGAATAGCAACATGCACAGAGTAACACGCATAAACACCCTGATGTAATTAGAGACGCATGACTGCCCTGACAGCCATCATTTTGTCAGAAAGTAATGTCTCCTGATGAACATTTTGAATAACTTATCACACGCATATGATATGGCTAACGACGAGTAGTGAATCACTCGAGCCAGAATTACTTTGGCAGCATCATCTTTTAAGATGCTCAGAATTTGTATCAATTGCATCAAGTAAGAGGAGAAGAAAATATAAAGTCACTTACCCAGAAGATGAGATTGAAGATGAACATCATATACTTCAAGCAGCAGAGGCAGCCTCTTGCCATGTTGCACTTCTTAAATTCTAAAAGGAACACAAAGGATAGATCCAGGTAAAAGACTATGTATTTGCTGCCCTTGGGTGAGCTGTACTTGTTGTTAGTCTTGTCTCCCGCGCTGGCGTCAGCTGCAGCTCCAGTCTGCCCCTGCTGCGTGTTTTTGCGTGGCCCCGTGGAGCCGTAGAAAGCGCCGGCAGTGAAGCCGCGGCCACCGAAAGGGCGGCCAGACGTGGAGGCTTGAGCAAAATCGGATTCGCGGCTGTCTACAGAAGGGCTACGGTGAATGGCTGACTCCTCACTGCTGGACTTCTCCATACTCTAGGGCTGCAGCTGCTGATGAGGGGCTCTCTGACACACAGTCTACCATAGTCTCAGAGATGATAGGACAGAACAACTTGCCCTCCAAATCTTCACTGCTTCACCTTCTGAAGCAATAAAGGATAAAATCCACACAGCAACACTACATCCACCTGAAAGCCCACGGATGGATGAAAAGGTCTCCTGTGTAGAACTGAACTGCTCAGGCACCTCTGGCAGGTTTAAGTGTCCTCTGCTTGGTGAAGCTCTCTTGCTGTGATAATCCTAAAGTAGAAGTGCAGAAGGTTCCTGTGAGGAGCATTACCCTCGCCTTATGACAGGACTGTCTTTCTGTGAAGAAGTTAAAGCACTTGTTCTATCCTGTCCTGTAATATCACTCTCCTCCTGCGCGTCTTAATGCTGCGCCCGGCTGCTGCGGTGGGAGTGAAACCCCCGAGAGTCTCAGCTGCTCCACTTCCACGTTCTCTTGCTGACCTGGTAACTTTGATTCCCCCTGTCCCTCCTCTCCTCTTTCCACTGCCCCGCGCCTGTTCAGTCCTCTTGTCTATGTGTGCTGATGCGCTCTCTTCCCTGGGTCTCTCACTCTCTGTTTCTTTCTGATTGTGCCAGTATCGCTCTCTTTCCGAGTGTGCCTGTCTACTCTAGTGTACCATTCTTTGCTCAGCAGCTCGGTCCCTCTGCTCTGCCTGTGCTCTGCTCTCCCAATAGGAGTGCACTGGCTGATGTGCTATTATCGGCAGACGCAACTAACGGGCATTCCCTATCTCCCAACAAGAGCACTCACCTCCTCCCCCAATTCTCTCTCCCTCCCTCTTGCTTCCTCCTGCTCTCTCTCTCTCTCTCTGCTCATTCAGTCCCTTCCCACTGCTGAGCAGGCAACCAATGCAGCAGCTGCAGCCAGACCGCAGCTCCTCCTCTCCACTCCCCGCGTCTTTATTAAGCCCATCACTGTGGCTGCTTTGACTAAACATGTTCAGCAGTTTCATATCCATCAGGGGAATTGAGAGGCCATAGAAAACAACAACAAAATAAACACACACACACACACACACACACACAAAAATCAAACATGAAGATAATTGCAGATGAGTAAGGAGTTGTGGAGTAGCAGGGTTAAGGGATGTGAGGTGGAAATTTCTGGCAGTCTCTTTTGCATATGAAAAGCTTTGAGCGTCAGTATGCTAATGACACTGACACCTGTGATTTCACACATGCCAGAGAAGCTTCTCATTCTGCTTTAATCTGTAACTTTATTCATTGCCATAAATAAACTGTAGTTAAATCTGACTGTGGGTTATTCACATATTTTTTTCTTTCTGAAAAACTAGCTTGAAATAGCAGCCAGTCCCCACTGGAGTGATTATTGCATATCACATGGGCGGTGGCGACGGTACTGGGGTCCAGTTTGATCATACTCTTACTCTGTTATTCGTCACTGCACTCCTCACATCCATGTAAGGGGACGCCAATTATCTGGCAACATCCAGGCTCTGGAATTATGGCACCATCTCAAGCATGGAAAGAGGCTTTAAGATGGTGAACACTTTCCAATGCAAAGCCAGGGTGAAACGCACAAGAGCCCTGCTGACTCACACACTAAGCTAACAAGACATTATAAAGCTTCGATTAGAAAGCGTTCCACACAGCTAAAAGTTCAGGATTCTCTGCAGTAAATGGAGGGTAAGTGACAATTATAATAATACAAGATAATAAAAATATGCACAAGATAATTATCTGTCTGTTCATATGAATGTGAGAACGTTTGTCCTCTTCTGAACATAACAGCTAATGTAACCGTTTAATTTTTCTTATCAGCTGTAAGAATCAACTTTTTTTCTCTCTCCAAAATGAACGTGCAGCAGAGGGCACATTGTTTGGTAATTGTTGCCTCTCGGCAGAATAGTGATAATGGGTCACCCTGCAGATGTATGGAGGGAGAGTTTTAACTCAGTGGTCTAAAAGTTCAATCTAGAAATACCCAGTTAACAAAGACAAGATTACCCTCGCCTTCAGCTGTTTCACTGCTGGTGGAGAATTATCTGCCTTGAGGAAGCACGTTTATAAATACAGAGAATTCATGCAAATTATGGCTTCATGGCTTCGACAGCAATTATAATTATGATGGTTGAAAATTCTGGAAAAAAAACACTTAAATTTTGGTAACAACGGGATCACATTGGAAAGAGATCGAAAGTAAACGGCCACTTATAGTTTTATTACTAATCCTAATCCTATCATTACCAATGTAGCAGCACTGGGGTAATAAGGAATGAAGTTTCTCCATAACAGCCTGTGCACATTGCTCAAGACTTATATTGGACCCGTCACAACTATTGGACCTGAAAAATGTTTATTCGTGGAAGTGGTTTCTCAGCGCTGCGGGTTCCTGCTGGTTCCTGCAGCAAACAACCTCAGAGTGGTCACTTTGGCTGCTAACAGGTTGCCATAATTGCCTGTAGCTTTTTACGTTTGTCTGCAAATATTCCCTAATAAGCTGTTAAATGGAGAAGGTTTCCTTAAAAGTAAAAGTTGAGCCTCAGTGCTGCACCCACCATAGCTGCACTTTTTACTTTGAAGGCAAACGTCTCCTCTAAGGTGAGTTAGGTTTTAGCAGTTTTTCCCAGCACCCACATCAACTAACCACTCTATACTGTTCTCATGTTTCCCCTCACGCGAGTGGTTGCCAAATAGACACAGTCTTAAAGCCTGGAGCCTTATTTAATTGACCTTACATTTTCACCACAATTGTCACACATGCAAAAAGATGGACAAGTTAAGGTCACATGGTTAGTGGTCCCGTGTCAAATATGACTCTACCTAAAAGAAATAATAATTACCCCGTGTGTAAGGAAAATGTTTGATACTTTTTGGAAATGTGATCACAGGGCTTTTTTTAAATGAAGACAGAGTTTCATGTCTCGACATTGATTGTAAGGCTACACCTAAAACAATGGAAACTAAGACTTCTTTTCATCCTCAGTTTCCTCATTTGACTTCACGAGAAAGCAAGTAAGCACGCGAAAGACTTAAAGTAAAGCTTATGAAATGTGTTTGTTATGAACAGAAAATGCAAAGAGTAAAACTTATCTATCACATATCACAAATCTATCAGGGTTCTAACTGTATATCTTGCTGACACTTCCAAGTAGCCAAGTAGTAGGACATACCCAGGCCTACACAGATTCAGCCGAAGAATTTTTGCCCATGCAGCTGCTGTATTTTGTTAAGGGGTAGAGCAAGAGACAAAGCTCGAGACTCCAGAGAAATGGACATCTGTGGGATGACACAAAGGAGCTGAAGCTTGAAGAGAAGATGAAAAATATGCAGAGCAGCAGCCGAGTAGACCAGAGCAGAGAGGCTGCGTTTAGATAGAGACGCTGAGTGGGATGAGACTGCATTCAAACATTCTCTGTAGCGCTCAGTAAATCTGGCAGCTCCTTAAACATATGTATGTATGTTTCAAAGGCAGGACTGAAGAGATTAGAGATCACAGGGAACAATTATAGAACTCTCTGAGAGCTCAGCAGGCAATGCTTTACAAAACAAAATGAGACACAAATGCTATGAACAAATAATGACTCATTGTTGGCATCACGATTGTGTAAACCAATATCTCGAATACTGAAGTCCTTAAAATATTAGTAAAAGAAATACTAATGAATACCAAAAATTCTTTCATCAAATTAGATGCTCATTTTCAGCAGTTTCAATACTAACAGCACCATCTTTGCCTCCTCCAGCCCCTCCACACTCACTAGCAGCTAAAGTAGTTGATGTTCACAACGGTGAAGAACACTCTAAGAGGAATTTTGAGAAGCGATAAAGCTCCTGTTTTCATACAAATTAATCTGGCTGGCTCACACATTAACATCAGACATCTCTTAAGTCATCATTAAGGCAGCTATCGGCTACGGATAATAATAAAATGATAACGTTAACGCTGGAGCTAGACAAGAAACGTCATTGTCCCTGTCAATCTATAATTTAAAAGCTAGGGCTAATTTAACAGGATGAGACAGTTATTTGTGTCTAAAAAGTGCTTCTCTTGTTTCTCTTAAAGTCCCAGAGTGAAACCTTGGCCGATTGTGACCCCAGCCCATTTTCACATCTTGTCTCCTGTGATTAGGCAGAGGATCAATAGGGAATCCATGACCCGATTGGGGACCCTGTTTAAGCCCCATAGGGCTTAAAATCTGGGACTCAGTTGCTCTTAGAACTAAAGAAGCTTCTCAGATTAGAGGTGAAACGTCTTCAAGGAAACTTAAAGAAGTCCAGACGCTTTTCTTTCCAGGCTCCTTAGACTATGACTGAGAACCTTCACAGACATGGTTATGTTAGTCTATTTTTCTGCGCTGCATTAGTCAGCTTAAAAATAAGTTCGTCATTGATGTTATTGTTTGTAGTATTTTAATTTTTTTGGTTGTTTTTTTTTAAATTTACATTTTTTCACCGTGGTTTTGAAAATGGTATTGAGTATTTTCCTGGGTACTGCTATCAAGTTTGACATTTAGTAGATAATAGGTGCATTTTCCCAAAAACATCTTTTAACATAGAAATAGTAGGTGGTACACTTATTGGAAAAAAGCCCTTAAACAAAGACCTGCACAATGCAAATTGCAAACACTTAAATTGCAGCCACTGACTCCATCTTAAAATGTTGTTGTTGAAGCTACTCAGCAGTGAATTTATGGCATTATTCTCAAATGTTTGTATATTAGTGTAATATCAGAGATAATGTATGCATATCTTCATGATCTTTGTTGTTTATGCCAGCTTAACTGTGGTTTTATTCATTCTGTATTCTCTAAAATATAGACATTTGCCTCCCAGTGATGTCCTAGTAAAAGCAGAATATTAAAAGGGATATTCCCTTATGTGTTGCACTTTCATAAACAAATAACTACTGAAAATCAGTGAGTAATACATACCAACATTTTGCTACTATCATGAGTCTAACATGTAGCAGACTGGATCTGCTGGGTAATGATCTATCTATAACCTGCAACCTGAAGTTTGAGCCCTATAATGAGGGGAATCAGGGACATTTTGAAGGTACACATTGGTTCCCCTGAGTGGACAGGGTGACTGGACATCAGCAGAAACTTGTTGTAAGTGATCATCTTTATCATATAAGGAAAACTGCCTACGCGTATGTGAATAGTCTCATTGAGGATAACGACAATCCTCAGAAAAAGAGGAAACCGTTAATGTTTTCACGAGTATATGAAACGTATGACGGCACCTTCACCGTCATTTGATCCCACAGCTTAACTCTTGTGTTCTAGACAGCACTCTCCATCATTACCAAATGAGGGAGATTTATTGTGCAAATGGCAGTCAATTCATCCAGCAGGCAGCAGTGCAGAATGCCGAAACCCTGTGAAACTATTCTGATGAACTATTTTGGCCTAACACTTTGGGACAGATTTACTAAGTAGTATAAGTTAACATGAAGCTGCAATGGAAAAAATGACATGAATGGCTGGGGTGATCAGCTAACAATCCACTAATTTAGAGATACAGATGCAGCAAGATCTTTTAAACAAAGGTAAATACAATCTACCAAAAGCAGCATAAATTAGCAGAGCAAATATGACCAGACCTGGTGAGAAATCAATCTACTAACCAAAATAACACATCTGATGACAGGTTTTGTTTCTGGAAACAGCATAGCAATTCAGATCAATGTGAGGCAAATGAAGGAGAATCTATATGTTCTGATGTAAGGGTGAACCCTACTATAGGAACTGATAAAGACCATGTGAGGTCTTGAAGGATGGAGCAGTCATTCTCTCAATAAATCCCGTTTTCTACTTCAGCTGTCAGAATTATCCAGAGAAGTGCTGCTTTATTACAAGCCCATCATGTAAACCTGCAATCTGTACGTAACAGCAAACCCATATAATGTGTAGAAAAACCGAAGAAAGCATTATCATGTGCATAAGTGCTCATCTACAGTAGCTCTCGATTTTACTCCATATGGTTTGAAGCTGCACGTATTTATGAAAGTCAAAGGAAAGAATCGGATTCAGACCTGCAGCCAGCAATCAGTCTCTGCAAATAGAAATTCAGATAATCATCTAAGTACTTCAAATCTCTGCGAGTCACATTATTAGCTACATGTATTCAGAGAGACATTTCACATTATGTATTAAATCTGATACTAGAGAGAAACGCACACTGCTGAATAAAGGTATGCAGACGTCTTCTCCGCAGCTTTCAGTGTAAAAATGTTACTAGAAACCTAAAACATTGCAGACCACTGTGCAAACTATAAAAAAGTAATTTTGTTGTCTTAATTTGATTTATAACTTGTATGTGTCTGGCAAAGAGGAGAAATATGGCAATGGCAATCTGCTCAAAACATCTGTGATGAGGACTCACGAGCTACAGGAAAGGCCCAAGGCTTTGGCACTGCACTCACAAAGTATTTACCCATTTATTTGCTCATTCTCTTAACATCTCCCTCGGACATTCAGTCCCAAAAAAAGAAGACCCTATTTTCCTTGTATTTATCACCTTAGCTTATCCCTTCCAGTTGTGCAATTTTATTACTTACTAATTTCACTGACCTCTTTTATCAGCCCATTATCACCAAACTAGCAGCTAATTAAAATCTATCTCCATTAGTATATTAAGCCTTGTGAGAGAACTCTTTATTGCAAATGCAGTAAAAAAAAAAAAAAAAGTGAAAATATCTAAAAAGAAATTAAATTTTGTATTCCAACAACATCAGCTAAAACTGGAGGCAAACTCAGTGGCTCAGTGATGTACAACAGAAGGAGAAGACGGAAAGAATTTAAAATAATAAGATATCAATCCCACTTGGTGCATAGTATAGTGATTTGTATTACAAGCTGAAAAAAGCATTTTTTGATAAGGCGTGTTCTAGATGCAGTTCATCTGTGAAGCTTGGGGAAAATGGCCGAGTAGTGCGTATGAAATGTGAATCTGTTTGACAGAATGTTTCTGACATCATTACACACGACGGTGTCTTTGTGTGCGCCGCTTTGGACTTCTGTTTGTTTGTTTTCCTAAGATTTTATATGAAGTGAAATTAACATTTTTTCCCTGTTGATTGTTCTTTGGTTACATGCAAATATCATTTGTCTGTCATGTTACAGAACGCTTGACCAAAAAGCCCATTAATCAAAGCGTAATTGTTTTCTCCATCATGAATTCATTAAATACATCTGTAGAAATCTAGCAAAAATGAAAGAGCCTGGTTGCTTTTAACACAAATGAGATAATCACACTTGGACATTTGAGATAAGGGAAACATACAGTGTGAGGTTCACCATAAGGTAATCGGAACTGTTTTTGGCTTTTATCATTGTTACGGCTCTAGCAGGACTTCCTTTGAAAGTGACCTTGTGTGGGTGTGTCCTGCCAGCTCTCCTGCCTTAGGTGCTATCTTTTTTTGTACAGCTGACTCCCATCAGCAATTACGAATACTTAAGGCCAGAGAAAGGTAAACTCTACTGCCAGAGAGTCTTGTTGGGTTGCAGCTAGTGAGCTGTGTGTATGGTGCTTGATTGCTCATGTTCTGCAGAAAGGAGTGCGTTTTGGTGATGAACAATTTTTTGACTCACTTTTCATTTTACTGACGAACACTTGAGTTTTGTTGTTTTCTTTCTTTAAAAGGTGATAGTGGCTTGTCCGACTCTTTTAGTTTAGTTTTTAATAGAAAAATTAATAAAACCCTTTAACTTAACCATTTTGCCTCCCTGTTTCCTTTTTCCCACTTGGACAGTTTGGTTACGTTCCCCTGGACCTTTTTAGGTGATGTAACAAATGGGGGCTTGTCCGGGATTTGAAACCAGGACCTTTCACACCCCAAGCAAGAATCATACTCCTGGACCTTTAAAGGGGAAAGGTACAATCATACAGACTTTGGTTATATTCACCAGTCTGCAGATGAAATACGATTTAAATTTGGGGCACTGTAAGAACAATTTCTGTTTTATTTTAACATATAGTTAGGCCCATAAGTATGTCGATTGTGATACAGTTTTTTTCCTCCTCATCAACACAGTTTATTTTAAAACAATTGATTAGAATGTGATTGGAGCAACTCCTTGAATTAGACTTTCAGCTTCTTGAGGTATTACCAGGTTACTTAGTATTATATTACATTAAGTGTTAGGATTTACAGCCAAATTTACGGACCCGTGTAATTGTTCGAATCTTCCTTTAGTTTCAAAACCAAAAATCTAGACCCACTATTTTAGGGAAATTAATGAACAGAATACCGTCTTTCATGAGGAAGCGTTTTAGATGTTTTTGATATCTTGCCACTGAATGTCTCTGATTCAGTAACTGAAATTGAATTATGACAATCACAACCCCAGTCACAAGGTCATTTCACTCATGACAGCAAACCAAAAATAAAACGGTGGTTCTAATAAGATGGCATTCCCTGAACCACTAAGAAAAAGAGAGAATTTCAAAAACAAAGGGTTGGGTGTAACTGATGGCTTCTAACAAGTCCACAACACAATTAATGGCTCTAATTTAACTTTGATCATATTACACAAGGATTTAATGCTACATACCTTTGATCAGTCAATCTGAAACCATATCAGACCTGCAGACATACAGTAAATCACATGTAACAGGACATGACCCTGGTGTGAATTTATGATCAAGGCCCGGATATAAAGAGAGGATTAAAACTACAAAGAGTTACACCCCACATAGTATGTCTCTGTGGCCCGTAGAGCCTCTCAAGGCCACGCTTGTTGCTTTGGACACAAACAGACAACACAGCATAGCCTATGATGACCGAATACTCTGAGGAACATAAACAGTAACTGCTTCAGCTGACTGCAAGATGAGGACATCTTGGCACTTTGTGATCCACGGATATGCAATAATGTAGAGATGAGCTAATAAGCTATTAATTCTGATGTCTGTCTCATCTCCCAAATCAAATTAAAATCAGATGACATCTGGTTTGATATTTATAGTTTGCTGCCCTTTTATGATGCTCTGAGTATTACCCTCTGAGAAGAGGCTGGCCAGACAGTAGCATAATTCTTCAGTCATTCTTGGGTGATTTGCAACCAGGAAGTCAATAAAAGGTGTCTGGAAAGGGTATTAATTAGGAGTTTATGGTATTATGCTGCCCTTGAGGTCCCACTGTAACAGCATGTGAGGTTTCCTGAAAATAGCACTAAAGCTAAGGAATCTAGGACTGTTTCTTAAAGTTAAATTAATGATGTTATTTAGCCATGTACACTTTTAGAGAGGTGATCTTGTTTAACCCAGTGCTCCATTAGACATATTTCTTAAAATCTCTGTTTACTTATCTACTCGAACGGGAAAAACCACTGACAGACACACTGTGAGAAAGGAGCCATCTGCTGAGTACTACAGACTGTTTTTGTAGCTCTTGTGAGGATTTGAGAGAAAAAGCAGCATTTGTGACACATTCTTAAACCAGCAGACATAGAGGTGCACACGGGACTCACTCACTCACAGACCCCATGAAATTAAATACACACAAAAAACCCCGGAAGCTAGTCCTGTAGTGAAACCTCAATCTAAACTTAATTCCTGCAAACACATCTTTCAGAGCAGTGGGAGATAAGGTAGGACACAAGAGACGAAACAGGGTTTTACAAGTAAAGTGAGCATACTCAGATTACAGGATACTACATTAGCATTTAGATCAGAAAGTGTCTCACCATGATTGAAATGCAACGTAGTATCAGAGTGCAGTAAAGTCCTGTTCAATAAAGGCCATCTCAGAGGGGTCAAACGCCTGTGATGCCTGTAGCTGGACGATATATGAATCCCCGAACAGCACTGCAGATAAATCAAGACTGACACGGGGTTCTGATAATGTTGATCAAAGGAGTGAAATAGCTAGCATCCACCAGTGTCCTACGCTTTATGTAATATTTAAGAGAGTCATAACTGTCTGAAAAAGATGAAATGTCAGCAATATCTTATCCAGTTCACTGGGAATTTGTAGAGCACACCACTAAATTCAGGGCTCGGTTATCGATTCACTGGGTCTATGTTAATTAAACTTGACTGGAGGGTCTTCAAGAAGTATGTTGACTTTCTCTTCAGTGCTAGTTTTCCAATAGCACCTTTTCCAATATGAAAGCAAAATGCTTTCATAAAGCTTCGAGGAACATTCTGGATGTAATGACTGATATCTTTTCAAGGATGAAAATTTAAAATAACTTTTGCGCATTTCTTTGGATTATAACAAGTGTGTTTTGCAAAACAATGTCCGTGCTGTCACCTATAATATTGTACAAGTAGTATTCCATTATGAAAAACAAACAGCTTTAGGTTCATTGCACGGCTACAATTTCCACTCTACATGCATATTTTGACAATACACCAGTGTCAGTGTTACAGCATAACCCACCGAAAGTCATACTGACTGAAGCCAAAAGCAGGGTGATTTTTTTTAACATCCAACAACTCCTATATAATACACATAACCCCCCCACCCCCCCAATGTAGGAATAAAACTACAAAATATTGTGTTTTGTTAGGACTTTTGGAGAAGTGATTACGTCTAAGTGCCTCTCCCTTTTATATTTGCTGTACATTAAACTGTGGGTGTTTTCTTCCATAGAAACCAGCAATCCACCAGGTGATTGGCTGATTGGAATCCCCTCTGCTTAGACAACTATCCATCATGGTTGCCACTGTGTAGCCATTTACTGGCACTAGATTGGATCAGCTGGCGGACCGGTCTGCCTTGATTGGTCAGAAAGGCAGAAAGGGGCTAAGAAAGCTACAACATTCATCACTGCTTTAAAATTAAAAATCATACTGAAAAAAAACCCAAAAAACTTTAACCTTGAGCTTTTCACCAAACAAGCTACAAATGATAAATTTCACAATATGTACTCTTTCATTCGCTGCGATGATGATGCTCTTTGAATTCAGACTGTACGAATCAACATCTAATGTACAATGCCTGCTTGATAATGTGCCAAATCAAAGCTGCATCAACATTAACACACTTATTATTTCTTCAGAAATTATGCAGTTAACTCTTAATGTCACAGGTTACAGTTTGATTAACACATATGAACTCAAGTTTCCATAACCTGCAAATGCCTCTGGTACAACATAAAACCGCTTTAAGGCTGTGAAGGCAAAAGACTATATGTTGGGCATATTTGTCTATGCTCTAAAAGCCATGTAGCTGAGTCATGTTTATGTGTGAACTCATAACTACAGCAACACATACACAGCTCTTCTCCCTCTTGCACTTCAGGGAAACAAGCAATTGGGCACAATCCAGAACTTTAAAGGAAAAATGTCCCCTGATGTACAAAAATAAAAGAGTAGGAGAGACGAATGGTTTATTAAGGGCAATCAGTGTAAAACCTACTGCATTTTCCATGTAGAATAGTAATAATAATAAATAATTTATTTATCCCAAACATTGGGAAATTACTGAAGATGTTCTCTCTAAGTTACCAGGAGGGCTGCAGAGGATATGACTGGTTGCTATCAGGGGCAGCAGCCCCTTAGCTGACATCAGTGTGCTATCTCTGCGTATGCATGCAGTGAGATTAAAGGGTTCGTCTATGCAGGGGGTAGGGTCAACATCATGGTTTGATCTGATTTTTAATGCACACAAGGGTGAGAAACAGCTGGCGCCACACAGCACATGGGGCTCATGTGTGTCCAACGTCCACGCACATCAATAGGCAGATGAACACACTGAATCTCCGAAGGAATGTTAAAGAAGCTGCTGACACAGCGATGTGGGTCAGATGGGGTTCATCAATATTTTAGTTGGCTGTTGATGTAATGCAAAGAAAGGAGGAGTCGGCTGCACTGCTGAGCTGTGTAGATGTGAAGATGGAGAGGGATGGAGTTCAGACATGAGGAAGTATAAAACACGATGGAATAGAAAATAAGAAGCAAGTATCTCCCTGCTGTTCATGCTACTCGGTGCTAAAAGTCAACGATGAAGATTCAAAGGCAACGACTGATTAAAGACACAGCAGAAGGCCTGAGGAGCTTTACAATCCTGTGCACCATAAAGATATCTCATCTCTGTCTTGTAGACTTCAGGACTGTTGTTTGTACCTCAGGGATATCGATCACTTCATGATTTTGAGCCGCCAATGAACAGTACAATAGTGTGATTAACACAATCCCATCATAAAATGATATGTGCACACCCACGTGTGACAAACTAGAAAGAGAGACGGAGAGAAATGTGTGGGTAGAAAAATATAAAACGCATGCAAGAAATAAAAAATAAAGGTTAAATCACGTCTGGTGGAAACCTGCAGAGAGAAGAAGATGGACCAGCTCTGTTCGGCTCCAATCCGACCAGCTGGGCTGCACCTCCCCACAGTATGGCATACCCTGGCTCTCCATGTGTGAGTGTGTCGGGCATGTGTGTGTTATGTGTTTAAACTAGGGACGTGGCGTCTGTCCCTTGGCGCAGACACTGTCAATATGGCTGTGGTCATTCATGAGCAGCCACTTCTTGACTGCCACCCAATGAGAGCAAGGACAACAAAGGAGAGTAAAGGGGAGGAGAGCTAAAGGTAGCAGACAGTGGCAAGATGCCCTGGATCCCTTCACTTTTACAGGAAGTGCCCTGCCGCGGATTAATGGCCTCCTCTAAACAAGCAGCTGCCATGTCATTGTGTTTGTGGATATGAATTAGATATGAAGTAGCAAGTGCTGACAATGGAGCAGATAACCACATAAATAATTTACAGCAGTTTAAAAACAAACAATATGTGCAGACTTTTTATAAAATATATATATTTTTTACTGCAATCTGAGAGACAGGATTTCTGTGAACACTCATAACATAAAATGATACAGAGAGGCTTGGAGAACAAACTAGAGCTGATGGATGCTTTATGTAAACAGCACAGAGGAACACACATGGCCTCTTCACCTCCATGGTGAAGGGAATGAAAACAGCAGATGTCTACAGAGCTGCATAAATGGTGTGGAACAAGCCACGAGGAGTCTCTTTCACAACATCGTAAACAGTGAAACACATGATTATCTTATAAACACCATGCACTTGCCAACAAAGTATCCATCTTCAGGCTTATGTGGGAGTATGTTTAAAACAAATAATGTGACCAAATAAGACACATAAGACATACACATTAGTATCTGACACAGTGCTACAAAGAAGCAATCACACACAAGAACTTGCAAACATGGACACTCGTTAGGCTTTCACAGTATACACATTTATATACGCTTGACTAGAGCCTTAATAAACCTCGTATTGCCTTCAGAACTGCCTCAGTTCTTTGTGATAAAACAAAGTGCTGGAAGCATTCCTCATAGATTTTGGCCCATAGTGACAACAGAGATTTCCACCACTTCTCAAAGGTGCTCTACTGGAATGACTGTGGAGTAGGGATGGGTACCGGTATCCGGTGCCATGGCACCGGTTCTGACATAAACGGTAGTAACCAGACCGAAAAGCAGCGCACATTTCGGTGCTTTTTTTTCCTGAGCTGTGATACACTTTAGATTCTAGCCAATCATTTTACGTTTCCGAGGATAGTAGGCGGGTCCAGGTACGTACGTTCTTTTAGAGCAGAGCTACAGATTAAAAATGCCCAAGGACGAAGCGGGTCTTGTATGCAAGCAGCCTGCAACAAGTGCTTTAAGCTGATACTGTGATACTGTCAAAGGAGGTAACACCTCGAATCCGATGAAACACCTGGCGACGCATAGCATTTTTTTTAAAAGCCGAGAAATGCGCCGTATTTGATAGCTTGCTGCGAGACCTCACACCGAGCCATCTACTGCGGGTGTGGTGCCTGTTATCGGACCCGGAGTTAGCAACATCCCCCAAAAACCCGAAGAGGAGAGTCCTGGCCCCTAGCCCTGCCAGTGTAGCAGAAATGATGAGGATGATGATGCAGCAGCAGCCGTTCTTCTCTGCGTGAGTAGCTTAATGTTGTTCGTGTGTAATTTACGTTGAGTAGGCTAACCACGTTATTACATTAATGCATGTAAGGTGAACTAGCAAACATCATCATAGCTACATGCGGCTGTCTTCTTGTTTGATGGCAGATACTCCCTTCACCCTGGCCAAAAAGGCTAAAATGACCAAAGAAAAAGAGGGAAACAGTAAACATGAGAGGTTTTTGGACAAAGTTTGCCTGCATGGTAAAATGGCCTGCATTTGTATAGCGCTTTTCTAGTCCATAGACCCAAAGCGCTTTACACTACATTCAGTCATTCACCCATTCACACACACATCACACTGGCATGCAAGCTACATTGTAGCCACATGCCTGGGGACAAAGTTTGTGTTTTTTCCATTGTTTAAGCACTGCTTCCAGCCAAGAGTGATACCATATATGCCCCATAGCTGCAGAAAAGGCTAACATTGTTATCTTTTTACAAAAAAACAGCTGAACATGAGAGGTTTTTGGACCAATTTTGTGTTCTCCATTCTTTAAGCACCGGTTTGAGCACCGTTTAAGCACCGGCACCGTTTCAAAAGTACCGGTTTGGCACCGGTATCGGATCAAACCTAAACGATACCCATCCCTACTGTGCAGGCCTTTAAAGTGAGCTCAATATCATGTTCAAGAAACCAGTTTGAATTGATCTGAGCCTTTGTGGCATGGTGTGTTATCCTGCTGCAAGCAGCCATTAGAAGACTGTGGTCACAAAGAGATGGACATGGTCAGCAACAGTGCTCAGGTAGGATTGTGGTGTTTAAATGATGCTCAACTCACACTAACAGGCCCCAAGCGAGCTAAGAAAATATATCCCACAGCATTTTGCTACCTTCACCGGTCAGTTGATACAAGCCCGGATGGATCCATGCTCCCATGTTGTTTATGCCAAATTCTGAACCTACCATCCAAAGATGGCAGCGACTCACTGTCTTTCCAGACTTCTGTTGCTCATTTCTGGTGTACCCGTGTGAATTGTAGCCTCAGTTTCTTGTTTTTAGTTTATAGGAGTGACACCTGGTGTGGTCTTCTGCAGCCCATTTACTTCAAGGTTTGACGTGCTGTGTATTCTTGATTGTAATGAGTGCTCATTTGAATTACTGTTGCCTTTCTATCAGATCACAGCAGTGTAGCTATTCTCCTCTGACCTCAACAACAGGGCATTTTGCACAACTTTTTGGACCAGTCTCTGTAAACCCTAGAGATGGTTGTGTGGGAAAATCCCAGTAGGTCATGAGTTTCTGAAAACAACCAACAACCATGTCACGTTCAAAGTCAAAGTCAAAGTCGTTTCTTCCCCGTTCAGATCCTTGCTTTGAACTACCTAAATGCACTGATTTGCTGCCATGTGATTGGCTGATTAGGTACTTAGTTGGCCGGTGAGTGCATAATAGAAGAGCATGTTCTCTGTGAAGTCCTACATGGGGATCTTACATCTCCATGCTGAACATGGGATTTTAATCCCTTCAGCAACATGATGCATTACCATTAAGAAAACAATTT